TTAGGGTTGACTGATAGGGTTTAAGCTATCAGATTCTACTGTTCCTTTTCTTCTTCTTCTTCTTGTTCCTCTGGTTTGAACTGCTGAAGCCACTGAGATAACAATCCACTTAAAGATACATCCTCTCAATACTCATCTTTTGCCATCTTACTTCAATTCACTTAGTATGATTACCTTTCTCTCAAAGGAGAGAGGCCACGGGCCCAATCCACTCGGTAATAGCAAAAGGCCCATAGTATTTGTTCCAAGCTTTTCAAGCTAAGGATGTTTGTCTGTAAGGATGAAGCTTAAGGTAAACAAAATTGCTCAACTTGTACTCAACATGATGGTGCCAGTGATTGTATTGAGCCTTCATTTGTTGTTGGGCCTTGATGAGATTAAGCTTGATATCCCTGAGGATGGAGTCACGGTCAGTGAGTTGAGTGTCAACTGTTGCTACTTCTGTTGAGCCCTTCTCAAGGCAGTAGTGAAGGTCGCTTCTGCCCATATAGGGGTGATCATGGGCTAGCTCGGATTCTGAGCCCAAAACAAAAGCCTAGGCCTGATTCTGAGCCTAAGTTTTTTATATAAAATTATTATTATATAATATTTTATATTAAATGGCTTATAACTTGCATGCAAATTTATTTTGTACATTATATGATAAAAAATATTATATATAATATATATTGTCTGTCATATTATAATGTTTATAACTTTATATAAAATATATAATGTAATGTAAAAGAACACATATACATATGTATAAAATACATATATTTAAATATATGCGGGCCAGGCTTGAAATATTAGGTCCAGTATGGGCCCTGAAATTTGTGGGCCTCATGCAGGCATGGGCCTGGGCCGGGCCTGAACTCAAAACTCAGGCCAAGCCCGGAATTTGTGGGCTGGGCTGAACTTATCACCCCTGTGCCCATAGAGGGCTTTGAAGGGTGTCATCCCTGTGGACATATGATTCAGCCCATGGAAGCCACTGGGCCCATTTCTTGGGGTTCTCACTAGTGAGACACCTGAGATATGTTTCACGGCAATGGTTGATCACCTTAGTTTGGCTATTTGATTGAGATTGGTATCTGGTGGATTTGTGGAGTTGAACGCCATATAGCTTAAAGTACTTGCACCAAAAGTTACTAAGAAAAGTAGGGTTGCAGTCCGAAACGGTGGCTTGTGGATTGCCATGCAGCATGGTTATTTCCCTTGTGAAGGTTTCAGCTACTGATGCTGCACTATATGGGTGGCATAAAGGGACAAGATGTCCATACTTGGAAAGCGGTCAATGACCACTAGGATAATTGAATAGTCCTTGGGCAGTTGGGCTTCGATTTCTTAAGGTTGTGAAATGCTTGTGGGCTGCTGCAGTCCACTCCAAAGAGTCTCGTTTCAACAGATGGGTTAATGGGCTTGCCAAAAGACCATAGCCCTTGACAATCTTCTGTAATAGTCTGCTGGCCCCAGGAAGCTTCTAGGGCTTTTAATGGATTTGGACTGAGGCTAAGACTAAATACTCTCTACTCTTGCTGGGTTGGGGTATACTATTGCATACAATGTGGCCCAAATACTGAAATGAAGATTGGTCAAATTCACACTTAGAAGCCCTAGCATATGGTTGATGTGAGTGTAAGTTAGAGAGAGTGGTTTTGAGGTGCTCAAGGTGAGATTCCCAATCAGCACTATATGCTAAGATATCATAAAAAATACAAGAATAAACTGGCAGAGACAGGACCGGAATACCTCATTCATAAGCGATTGAAATGTGCATGGCGGGTTAGTCAGTTCAAACTGCCTCACCAATAATTCATAGTGGTCATCATGTATCCAAAAAGCTGTTTTCTGTACGTCATTTGGGTGGACCTGAATCTGATGGTGGCTTGATTGTAGGTCTTGCTTAAAAAAATATGGTTTCCCCCTTTAACTCATCCAAGAGCTCTTATATTAATGGCATGGGAAAGTGGTCCTTTACAGAAATTTGATTAAGGGCCTTATAATCGATGCAAAATTCTCCAGGTGCCATCATTCTTTTTAACAATAAGTATGGGTGATGAAAATGGACTAGAACTGGGCAGCATCTCCTCAGCATTTTTTTGATAAGTTCAACATTTTTTTTTCTATCTCAGCCTTTTGTGAATATGGGTATCAATAAGGCACACAGTGGCTGGTGGGGGCCCTTGGGTCAATGGGAATATGATGATCACTGGCATGAGGTGGAAGCACCCTTGTGGCTCTTGAAAAATATCAACAAACTTTGACAGAATTTGTTGTGAACCGTTTCAGGCTTGCTGGGTGATTTGAGTCATTGCAAGGCTGGGATGGTGAACCCACAATACATACTCATGAGAATATACTGTGGAAAGTTGCTACAGTTACAATACCGCGGCAAAAAGTTAACCCCTGTTTGATCCTTGTTTGGCTAATGCATCAGCCAGACCATTGTCTGTTCTTCTAATCCATTTCTAATCTGCTTCAATTTCCCTTGTTAGACTCCATATTTCTCTCATAGCTTTCCTGTGACTCCAGATTTTCCAGCTTTCATCTAGTCTTTTATCCTTGAATTCCCTTCCACTTCAATCCGATCTAATCCCATTTGCTTTACCAGTCTCAGTCCTTGCAGTAATGCTAACACTTCAGTTCTTAATGAGTTATCCAGTCCTACAGGCCCGAAAAAAAAGAACCTAGATTTTTCCTTCCCCATCTCTAAAAACTCCTCCCACACCTGAAGGCCCCGTGTTACCAAGTGAGTTCGAAATTCATCTTTGTTCTTTGTTGTGTGGAAAATATCACACTAAATTTATGGGATAAATTTTTACCGCTGATTAACCTTGTTACCACTCTCTGCATCGCGTATGTTCCATCTTTTATTTCATCTCTCATTGCCTGCCTATAATATATCTTTAGGAACATCTTTATTTATTTATTAATTTTCTGTAATATGAAATCAATCTATTGGAAAGAGACGGTAAACTGTATACGATTCACTTTCCATGCCTAAGCTGAGGAAGTTATTTTCTCTTCTTCCATCCCTTGTTTTTGTTATTGCGAAAATTTTCATCTGTCATTGCCTGCTAGAACATATCTTTTGGATATGAATTCTTTTCTTATTTTGGATATGAATTCTTTTCTTATTTTCATTTTCATTAAGCATTCATAGTTTTCTTGGTTTTCTATTTTGTTCAGAATGGTAAAATCTTAGGCCGACACCTGTGAGAACAGAGGCTTGAATGTGAGAGTGGCCATTTTGTAAAGTCGAAGGTTAGGTCTATATCCAGTACACTCCTCCCAAGACTCAAGATAGCTGGGACCAACATTGAGTAATGGTCTTTACCTACCACAGTTGACTGCCTTGTAAAATTAGATGATTGTTTGAATATTTTATTTTCTTGACATGCTTTAACCATTTAGCTTACTTTTTTCATAAAATAAAAGTTTAGCTACACTAAACTATTCTACCTTAGGAAGTATGTTGATGCATTGTTTGGTAGCTTTTGGAATTTCTGACCATCCTATTTACTATTTACATTATCACTGGGCCAGATAGAATCTGCACTTCCAACCCTTGCAAGGCCAATCATGTCTTTGGATGCGAATGAAGATGCCATCGTAGGAGCCCTGAAGCAGAGCTTGGTAATATATATATTTTTGAGGTTATACCAACACAAAGTGTTTCACGAATTCCATTTTTTTTTTTTGTAGTCAACTACCTTCTTTCCAATGCCTATATGTTTTACTATCCAAAAATTGTAATACTAATAAAAATTTGCAATATGTTTGTATACTTCTTTATTACCTTACGTATGGAGATCAAATTTTATCTTTACTAGAACATGCTGAACCTGTGTAGAGGCAATTGGAGAATCTTGGTGCACATCGTGCAGGACTTGAAGACATGCTCAAGGAGATGAAAAGGAAGGTAGGCTGGCTGTATGATTATATTGTTTTGTTCATGATTTCTCATTCAAGGTCCTTAAATTGTCCTTTTATGTTCTAAGATATGCATCTCTGTTTTGAGCATATTAAGCTATCTTGCCACTTACTGTTCTATTATATATTTTAACATATCTTTCATTTATGCAGCTCCTTGCATTCAAATATTTTCTTGCCTTCTTACTGTAATTATGATTTATGGATATGTATGCCATAGGTGGGAGTCTATCAGCCAACTTACCTTGTCTTCCAAGCTTGGTTTGTCATGGGTTGCATGTGAGCTTCAGCTCAAGTTGCTGGTTGAGCCTAATTCTTAAACTTAGAACTTGTTATGCAGGAGAGAAGAATGGAAGAAGAGAGAAGAGAGAGAGAGAGAGAGAGAAGAAGAGAGAAGAGAGAAGAAGAGAGAAGAAAAGAGAAGAGAGAATTGAGAGCCAAAAAGGTACTGCTGGCGGCACTAACTTTGATATATATACTAGGGCGACAGAACATAAAAAATAAAGAAGAAAATTACAAGAGTACCCCTGTGGTACTATACTTAGACAAATAATAGTCTTTTAACACTCCCCCTCAAGTTGGGACATAGATGTCAATCATGCCCAACTTGTCACATAAATCATGATGCCGTGAGTAGTGTAACCCTTTTGTAAAGATGTCTACAAGTTGGTCTTCAGAACTAACATAAGGAGTACACACTTCCCCTGTGACAACCTTTTCTCTGATAAAGTGTTTGTTGACTTCGATGTGTTTAGTTCTATCATGCAACACTGGATCAGCAGCAATGTTTATGGCTGCTTTGTTATCATAGAATAGTGTCATAGGTCCGTTAATTGGAAAACCCAACTCACCCAACAAATTTTTCAGCCACATAATTTCAGCCACTCCATGAGACATTGCTCGGTATTCAGATTCAACACTAGATCTAGCTACCACATTCTGCTTTTTGCTTCTCTAAGTAACTAAATTACTTCCTATGAAGGTACAATAGCCACTAGTTGATTTTCTGTCATTTAGGGATCCCGTCCAATCTGCATCAGTATACACTTCAACTTTCAAATGCCCATGCTTTTGGAACAACAAGCCTGCACCTGGGAACCTCTTAAGATATCTAAGAACTCTTTTTGCTGCTTCAAGATGGGTAGTCTTAGGGGCATGCATGAACTGGCTAAGAACATCCATTGCATAAGCTATGTTTGGTCGAGTCATAGAAAGATATAACAGTCTTCCTACAAGTCTTTAGAACAGTTTCACATCCTTGATGGGTTCACCCTGACAGTCACCTAGTTTGTGGTTAGGGTCAATAGGGGAATCAACTGGCTTCACTCCTAGTTTTCCTGTATCCTGGAGTAGATCTAGGACATACTTTCTTTGGGAAATGAAGATACCCCTTTGTGGGCGGGCCACTTCAATCCCAAGGAAGTACCTTAGAGGACCTAGATCTTTCACTTTAAACTGGGTAGCAAGAAAAATTTTCAACTTTTGAATTCCATCCTTCCAATCACTAGTGATAACTATATCATCAACATATACTATCAGTGCTGCAATTTTCCCTTCCCCTCTCTTCACAAACAATGTGTGATCAAACTGACACTGCTTGTATCCTCTTTGCTGTACTACTACATGGAACCTGCTGAACTAGGCTCTTAGTGATTGTTTCAGCCCATATAATGATTTCTTTAGCTTGCACATTTTCTATTCATTACCTTGAGCCCAAAAACCAGGGGGTTGAACCATGTATACTTCCTCTTCAAGGTCGCCATTCAGGAAGGCATTCTTGATGTCAAGTTGATGTAGATCCCAGTCAAGGTTAGTAGCAAGGGAGAAAATGACTCTAATGGAGTTCATCTTAGCAACATGTTTAAAAGTTTCAGCATAATCTACTCCATACACTTGTGTAAACCCCTTTGCCACTAAATGAGCTTTATTCCGTTCCACGGTGCCATCAGCCCAGTGTTTAACCGTGGAAACCCATTTACATCCAACTGGATCTTTCCCTTTAGGAAGATCTACAAGTTCCCATGTGCCATTTTTATGTAACACATTAATTTATTCCTTCATAGCATCTGTCCATTCAGGTACCGAAAGAGCTTTTGCCACATTCTTAGGGATAGGGGCACTGTCAAATGGAAGAAAGAAAGGCTCGAAAGGAGGGTGAAATGTTTTCATAGGAAACAAAGTGGGAAATTGGGTGTTTAGTGGTCAAGGTCATTAGCAACAGAAGTGTCAATGGCAATAAGGTCAGGAACATCAACAGGGACCAATGCACTTGAATGGGCATGATCCGCTCCTAGAGAGTCTGATGGCATTGGTGGTACAACTTCTAGGTGCCCCATAGCTCTTGAACACGGTTGGCCTTTGTGACGACGAAAGAAGACACAGAATGAAGGAAGATCAGGAAGAGGAGGGAGCTAAACTAGTTTTTCCTCATTCCTATGCTCCCCCTGAGGAGAAATAGGGAAGAAAGGCTCACTCTAAAAAAAAAGAGACATCCATAGAGACATAAAATTTCCGAGAGACAGGACCAAAGCGTCGGTATCCCTTTTGAGTGAAGGAGTACCCCAAGAAAATGCAAAGAGGATCTAATTTGCCACAATTGGGTGACAGATTTTGAACAAAACAACGACACCCAAACACATGAGGAGGAATAGGAAGATGAGGAGCCTTAGGGAAAAGAAGCTGATGTGGGGCTTTGTACTCTAACCATCGAGAGGGCATGCAATTGATGAGGTAGGTAGCACAAAGGACAGCCTCAAGCCAAAAACGTTTCGGGACATTCATATGGAATAGCAACCCCCGGGCCACTTCAAGAAGGTGTCGGTTCTTTCTTTTAGCAACACTGTTTTGTCGTGGTGTTTGGGAACAAGAACTACAGTGAAGTGAGCCACTCGAAGCAAAAATTCCATGAGATCACTATGAAAACATTCTTTGGTGTTGTCCAATTGAAAGATTTGGATTTCAGTTTGAAATTGGGTGAAGATCATCCGTTGGAAATCTTGGATAATTTTAGGTACTTCATCATTGGTTCGCATGGGATATACTCATATATATCTGGAGTAATCATCAATAAGGGTAAGAAAATACTTGTAGCCACTCTCAGATGGTAAAGTAACAGGGCCCCAAACATCAGAATGAATAATGTGGAAAGAAAATTCAGATTTATTATTCTTTGAAGAGAAATGAGTTCTACATTGCTTACTTAATTGACAAGTTTGACAAGTAAATTCTGACACTGACACTGACTTAAACAATTCTGGAAACACACATTTTAAAGACTCAAAAGATAAATGACCAAGATGACTGTGCCATAAATAGACCTGACTCTTAGACTCTGTGACTTGAAGGCCAGCCTTATTCTCCAACATGTAAAGCCCATTCACCATACATCCTCTACCAATCATCTTCCCCGAGGCCAGATCTTGGATCACACAGTGAGAAGGGAAAAAGGTTACTGAGCTGTTTAACGAGTTAGTAATATTACTAATAGAGAACAAGTTAATGGGAAATTTTGGGACATGTAAAACATTAGACAAGGTAAGGCCAAAAGGAAGAGAAATGGTTCCTTGACCAGCTATGGTAGAGTATGATCCATCGGCTAGTCTCACCTTGTCTCTTCCAGAAAGGAGGTGATAGGTTTGAAAGTAAGAGGACTTACCAGTTATGTGTTTAGATGCTCCAGAATCAATGATCCAAGGAGTGTCAGGGGTATGAGATGTTACGTGGAAAGCTGTGGTAGAGTTACCTGATGTAGACGCAAATGAGGTTGAGGGAGGAGTATCCATCTGACGAATTGCTCTACCATAAAGCTCTAAATGGTCACGGAAGGAATTTATAACATCCTCCCTTGGGTCAGATCCAGAGGTATGTGTCTGAGTCACAGTAGTAATGGGGGGCTGATTCTCCCGAGTAGCCATATTTGCCGTAGTGTGTTTTCTTGTACCTTGCTGTCCCGACTTTTTATTCATATCTGAACCTTGCTTCTTATTCAGATCTTGAGCCCATTTTGGCTTCCCATGAAGATCTCAACATGTGTCTCGGGTGTGTCGGGGTTTCTGGCAATGAGTACACCACAATTTGTCCTTGTCATCTACATTTTTCTGAAAATCCCCCTCCTTAAAAGTATTTACCCCACTGGTAGTAACACTCCCTTTCGTTGCCAACACAACTGCATCTCCTCCAAAATTGTTCATCAAATTCCTTCTGCTTTCTTCTGATTGTACAAGAGCATAAACTTCCTGGACTGATGGAAAATCCTTGCTACCTAGGATCTGGACTCTGATAGATTCATATGTAGGGTTCAAACCATGTA